AATTTGATTTAGAAATAGTTCTTAAGTAAACTTGAAAACCACTTACCTTTTTACTTATATTCCTTATCCTTCCTTTTTTCCCCCCTCCCACTTTGTTTTCTTGCCAAACACACTGACATTCTAGCTTACCTGGATTCTGCTGCTTCTTCTGCCTATTACAAACTTCTGTACACAATTCTTTTTTCTAAACAAGAGCGAGGATGGACGTTAAATACATAATCCAGTCTACCAGGTAATGTCTTTGGTGAGCCCCTGATAAAGGAGCTCATCATCAGATAGTTACATTTAGTATTGAAAGTAACTGCAAATCCATTCCCTGTCCCAGATTAATCCCATCTTCTTGGGTCTTTTCAGTAACCAGCAGGTGTGAGAAATAAGGTCAGTAAGTACCAGCCTATTTCAGATATGTTTAATGGCTGGAAATCTGTTCACCCTGCTGAAATACAATGAAGCAATGAAGTACAGTCTGGAAAATTACTTACACTCCATATCTTTCTCCCTTAATTATAAGCCCATTAGTTAGAATGCTTCACTGTGATAGGTTAGTACTCCTTTTTATCTTCAGTGGGTTATTATCTGCAAACAGAGTAAAACAATTTCCTAAACATGAGGATAAGCTTTTCTTTTCCTATCAGCTTGGTCCCATGAACATAATGATAGTCACCAGATGTCTTTCCGTATGCAAGAGTTGTTTGTATTTGTTTTCAGTGCCTTAAAATGCTCTCATCTCCTCACAAATAATTATAGCAGAAAAACAAACTGTATCCAGGATGAAAAGATACAATGACTGTCAAGTTCTGGCATTAGGCATGAAGAAAACTCATGCAGCATTGCCTTGAGCAATAATTCTCTTTAAAGGACAGGTCTGAATTAAGTCTTCCTCTGTGTCCAAATAGGTTAATCTGGATAACCTGTTTGTCTTATCATGTAAAAAAAAAAAAATGTCCCAGAGGTGATTTTAATAACTTCTTACTGCCACAATAAACATACCCTTAGCATGTGTCCCTGATTCCTTTAGCTGCTTCCAATACCCTGTTAGAGCTGTGGAATTGCACAACATTTGTTTTTTATTCCTGCATCTCTCAGTACATTAAAGCTAAGAGACTAAATCCTTGCTTTTTGCTCTTTGTTCTCTATAGTTTTGGGCTTTGGTTATTTCATTAGGTTTTCTTAGGGCTGTGCTGCTCTCCTTGTCTAGATCCACCCAAAATGCCATCTGTTACCCATGCCAGCTTGAATATGCCATAATGGAGGCAATAATACATTAGCATCCAAACCACATCCTCCTTTAAACACGTTGAGCTATCTTTCTAGTTGTTAGCACCTGGCAAAATCCATGCAGCTGCATTTTTCCCTAATGGCTAGAACCAGTAATATCTCAGCCACTACCTTCAGATGGCTACGATGTCTCAGTGTAAAGGCAATAACCTGGTCTTGATTTCCAAATCTTGCAATACCTTCTTTTCAATACTTCATTTGCAGGTGAGACTGCAGCGGTGGAGGACAACAAAGCATCACGTTCTGTTGTCATTGAGATCCTGCAGAATGTTGTTACAGGACAAAGTGCTGCTGAGCCCACAGGGAAGGGAACAGAGAATACTTCAGTGTATTGTGGCAAAACCAAAGTATTTATGGCTAATTCTGTGGTAAGAGTGCCATTTCCTCAGCTAACAGTTCTGGAATATACTTGTGCCTTGTGTTGCTGGTATTTCACCATTTCAGCATGGATTACAGCTTTCCCTGGCTTCTGCTGGCAGCTTTAGCTACTCTGACAGGCCCAAGCAGATCCTTTTTTGACAAATACAAAGAAGACACTTCTGCACTTTTACAAAGCTTGCACACTGAAGGGTGCAGCTATTCAAAAAACAGACAAGCGAAACAAAACAAAAAACAACTCTCACTCAGTAGAGCTAGTTTTAAGCCAGCTGCTACTGTGACTTAAGGAGTGTCTTTTCCCCCACAACACTTTTTCCCCCTCAGGTATATATGCTTTCTTCTTTAACCTTACATATTATATATAACTGTATAATAAGCATTAATGACATGCCGTCACTGCTAAAACATAAGCAATCTTGGGACCTGACAAGCAACAAATGATTGTTGAAGGGTTAAGAACACAGCTCTGTCCCTGACTATTAACTCCAGGTTCGTATCCCCAACACAGCTAGAGCAACTTGAAGCTAGAAGAGCAGAGGTGTTAAACAAGAAAGCATTTTGCATTCAGTGTTGCTGGAGAAGATTTAAACAGAAGAAACTTGCAAAGGAGAGAAGGTCTGCAACCCTCATCCAAGCAGGTAATTTGATGAGAGTGTGGCTGGACATAATGTAACTAGTAACATTTCCAGCTACACTGGGTATTTAAAGAATGGATATGCTAATTGAACATGGAGAAGGTTTAAGTGCCATCTTTCTTACATTGTCTGCAACAGCTGCTGAGATTCTTTGTACTTAGATTTCTTTTAATTAAATCTCCAGCTATTCGCTCCTGGTTAGCCAGGAACCGCTTCCAAAGGATGCGCAGGGCTGCAGATGTCATTAAGCGTGGATGGAGGAAATGGAAAGTAAGTATGTTGGTACAGAAAAGGATTAAAGCTGAGTGAGTGAAGCTTTGTAGTGGTTTGAGAAATAATCCACCCCTATCAAGTAACTGTACAAAACCCACACTGTCAGTTCTTCAGAAAACATTTGTCAAACAGAAGCACAGAAGATGGATGCCAGTCTTCTACAGCTGCTTGGGAGGTAGCTAAGGGCTGCAGAATTAATTTATTCCTAATTATCTATAAAATGGGAAACCATCCCAAATGTTGTCCTATCCCTTATGTTGCACTCTGTTTTAGGCTCTTTGTTTTGCAGTTTTAAATTTTGCTCTATTTTTTCTGCATCTCTTTATCAGGCAAAAATGGCTGCTTTAGCAGCAGCAGAATTAGATGAGGGTGATGAAAAGGCACCTTTCTCAGCAATGTCAGCCAAATCACCATGCTGTCTGGAAACAGCTTGGCCTCTACATGCAATCATTCAGTTCTGGCCTCTTGGCCTCGTCCTGTCTGCTGCGCCTGTTACCATAGTGGGACTCCGGAGAGAGCTGTCTCTGCTGGCATGCTTGAAAGTACTTCAGGGGATTGGCTGCTACAAGATGGAAAGCAGCTTCTTAGGCTGTGGCATCACTTCTATTAGAGCCCTCCCACAGGTAAGATACCTTGCACAGCACAACTAAACTGAGCCAGCAGTCTGCCCTTGTGGCTCAGAAGGCAAATGGTATCCTGGGCTCCGTCAAAAGAGGGGTGGCCAGCAGGGACAGGGAGGTGATTATTCTCCTCTACTCTGCTCTTGTGAGGCCCCATCTGGAATACTGTGTCCAAGTGTGGAGCCCCCAGTACAAAAAAGACAGGGAGCTGTTGGAGAGGGTCCAGAGGAGGGCCACGAAGATGATCAGGGGACTGGAGCACCTCCCCTATGAAGAAAGGCTGAGGGAGCTGGGCTTGTTCAGCCTGGAGAAAAGAAGGCTGCAGGGTGAATCATTGCAGCATTTCAGTACCTAAAGGGAGCCTACAGAGGGGAGGGGAATCAACTCTTTGAAAGGGTTGATAACAGCAGGACGAGGGAAAATGGTTTCAAGTTGAGGGAGAGGAGATTTAGGTTGGACGTCAGGGGGAAATTATTTACAGAGAGAGTGGTGAGGTGCTGGAACAGCTGCCCAGAGAGGCTGTGGATGCCCCATCCCTGGAAGTGTTCAAGGCCATACTGGATGGGGCCCTGAGCAGCCTGGTCTAGCATTAAGTGGGGAGGTTGGTGGCCCTGCATGTGGCACTGGGTTGATCCTTGAGGTCCCTTCCAACCCTGGCCATTCTGTGATTCTGTAAACTGTCATGAGGTCAGGATCATAGAACAGTACTGGCATGAAGTCTGCTATCAATCTAGTTTTTCTTTCTTTCTTCACTGCTTTAGATATGCAAGGATGATTCTGATCTTAGGTCAGGTTAGACATGGGGCTCAGCTGTGAGACCATAGCATGCAAGTTCTTGCTAATCTGTCATAGGAACAAACTGATCAAAGCTTCTAGTTGTACTTATCAGTTGCTTGTATAATAAGGCAGTGCTTTGTCTGAACAACAAAACTAGATCACAGTCCTGCAAAGCATCAACTGCCCTTTCCACCTTCTTTTCTTCCAGGGCTCTGTCAGGTTTCACTGCAAGAAGTCTCCCCTGCATTACGCAAATGTCAGTCCCCACACAGCTGCCTTTTCTATCACTGGTTTTAACCAGATTTTATTGGACAGAAAAGAACTGCTTCCAACATAACTTTTGGCCATCTGCATGTACAGAACTTTTTCCTTCAGGGAAGGACTGCCTGCAGGCTGCTGCTTTTCAACTTACTCAACGTCCCTATCTGCTGCTACCTCAATTTCCTATAATCACATGTATAATCGGTGTATGCATATTATAATTCAAATTTAGAATGCAGGGGAGGCATTCCTCCTCTCACACACGCACATACTAGAGGAGATAATCAGTACTCTGAGAAGATAGATCAAGTGCTTTAAAGAGTATATACTTGAACAGAACACTTCTAGCTGTACATGGTCAAAACGAGGCTGGTAATGAGATAGCAAAAAAGGCCAACACTTCTGATGTGTGCCAGATTCTTTTTGGGAGGTACCACAAACATTTAGTAACCTGTGACCAAGGAAGTAAGTAGCAGTCAACTGTAACACTAAAGGCAGATGTCTCAGGGAAAAGCAAGGCCAGACTCTTGCCTTTTATCTGTAGGACCAAAATATGTTGTGATCTGTGCGTTTCTAACATGACCTAGCCAACAGCATTACCTCTGCAGAAGGACCAAGGTTCTCATCAGGGCACAATATACCACCTCTGTTATGTATGTGGGTCTTGAAAATGTTCAGCTTTTCTGTGTATGCCACATCTAAATAAACTCTTAAGTATCTTGTGAAGGCGTATGACTATCCTCGACAAGGTCAACAAAAGCATTTCAGGCTCATTTTGTGGGTTAAGACAAATGCCAGTATATTTAATATAATTGTTACTGGGAAGTGGTATTTCCCACAGGTGACAGGATTTCTGTACCAACGGAGGGCAAGTCCACATAATACCAAATTCAATTCCTAGCATCCAGAAATTTGTCCAGCACCATGTCATTGTTTATCAACTCTAAAATGAAAATTAGAGTGCTGACATTCATGAGCAACTGAACTGGAGGGAATACATGGCACAGTGCACCATGGGGTGCTGCAGAATGGCTTTTGTAAGAGGAAAACCTGAAGGAACAAAAAATATTTCCAAGCTCACTCAGGAAGAATGTTCTCCTTCTCTGGGGGTTCCACAATCCTCAAGCAGCAGTCTGCAAACTCCACAAAGAGTGGCTCCTGCATGTACTTTTTCATGAGAGAGCTTTTGTCTTCTGCTTGGTCAATGGTCAGCAGCAGCTGCCTGAGGTGTGGGTTCAGCAGCAAGCCTCTCAGTTCTTCTGATTCTCCTTTAAAGGCAAGGACAAAAGATAATGAGAACCATTTTCACCTGAAGTCCCCACTGTAAAGGATTTGGTTTCTGTTAAGTGAGGCAGTTCAGCCCTCAAGCCAGAGAAGGCAGAAGCCCTTTCCTCTGCCAGAACCAAATCAGAGGATTAATTCCTACATTTGCATGAAATCCACAGCAAATCCCACTTTGGGGCAAAATCTATGAAGTCATGCACTTGTGATAACCAAGCACTGATCACAAACTAAATCCTTGCTTTCTGTTTTTATGCAGTTCCTCCACCAGCACATAATCTCAAGTCGGTATTAGGACGGGGTCTGCTTCAGAGCCAGGAAACAGACTGCCCAGGGCAGCAGGCACAGCCCTGAGCTGCTGAGGCTCACAGGACGCTGTGACACAGGGTTTGGGCAGTGCTGTGTGGAGCCAGGGCTTGGACTCAAAGCTCCCTGTGGGTCCGCTCCAGCTGGGGCTCTTCTGTGATTCCACACTGCTCACTGCGCGCAGTCATAAACGCCGCTATAAGCATCCCTACTTTGCCGGCAACCCCCAAAGAGGCACCGAGCGGTGGCTGTCAGTGTTTGAGGCCCCCGCCGCCCCCCGGCTCACCCAGCAGCCGGAGTTTCTGCAGCGGGACGCGGTCCTGCTCGTCTTCCTCCGTCAGTATGTCAGCCACCGACCACGCGCTGTCCGCAGGAGAGCCGCGCTGCGCCGCCCGTTCCTCCGCCGGCGGTTCCCTTTGCGGCGCGCATCGCTCTGCGATAAGGATAAGGCCCGTCACGGCGCCCGGCCCAACGCACCGCACCGCACCGCACCGCTCGCTCACTCACCTCTGTGCGTCTTGCAGCACGGCACGGAGCAGCTGCGGGATGACAGCCGCCATTAGGCCGACAGGTCCCTCAGAGAGGCGACCCCCGGCCCCTCAGCCCCCCGCCCCGCTCCCCGCCCCGCCCCGCCGCCCCCCTCCCGCCCGGCGCTCACTATGCGGCAGCGCAGCGCGGACAGCGGTATTTGGCGGCGCCGTCCGCCCCGCACACCGCGCACAGCCCAGCCGCCCGCATGGCCGCACGCAGCGCCTGCCCCGCCCCAACCAGGCCTGGCAGCAGAGCGCCGAGCGGGGACGGCCGGGAGCGGAACGGCGGCGGTGGGAGGGGGAGGCGGTTTGGGGCGATCCTGTGCCGGTCGGGAGAAAAAAAAATCACCGAATCGTTCCGGATGGAAAGAACCGCTAAGATCACCGAGTCCATCCCCACCGTGATCACTAAACACGTCCCTAAATGGGGTCGTAGAACTAACCGCGATCTCCCAGAGCTCTGTGGTGTAAAGAATTACAGGAAAGAGGTTTTATGGCAATGATGTAAAATGCTGAGTAGGTGGGTTGTTCATGTAACGGCACCTGCCTCCCTGTTACAGCAGCGGGCGGGCGTCTCTCACACAAACCCCAGTCCTCGCAGCCACTGCACAGCAGCTCCTCTGAACACGATTTAACAGCAAACGATGAGCGAGTGTCACTTGGGTCTATTGGTCACCGCCTCCAGGTTTGTCACTGTGTGCGAGGCGGGAGAACAAATGGTGCCATTGAGACCCTCCCAGACAACATCTCCGTGTCATTCGGTGTCAGCATTCATTTAGCCCAGAATCTGACCAGTTAATTAACCAACAGCCATTTCCTCTTTGGAGAGAGGGAGAGAGGGGAGACCTTTTCCTTCCACGAAACACGTGCTCTGGAGGTTTTTATTTCATTTTGCTTTGTGCCATGACTACAGTTCTGATAATGAAACCTCCATTGAGGTTTTCTCCTAAATCGAATCAGTTGTCAGCAGCCACAGCACATGAGCGTGCTGCTGTTCTCAGCCAGGGACACGAAACGTGTGGTCACAGAGCTCTCACAGAAACACAACGCTACACGCTGCAGATACACTAACACCAGAAAAACTGCGCTGAATACCCCGAAAACTGATTCATCAAATATTAAAAGATACGATGTTACATGCTGCAAATGAGAAAGTAACGCTACATTTTCCCCTATACAACTGAACATTTTCCAGCCACTTATCCACCTTCCAAAAACAAACAAACAGACAAACAAAAAAACAAACACAAAAACCCACAATCTGAGCAGCAAAGGAAACACGTCAGAAGCCAATTTCCAAACGCGAAGCAAACACAGCTGATGGAGTGCGATTCGTTCCCAAGCACAACGCTCCCATCTCCCATCCGCACAGCAGCGCAGTCGCACCCGCGCTGCCCGAGGAGCCCCGCGCGGCGCCCCGCCCGCGGCCGGCCCGGAGCTGTCCCCGCCGCGGGTGCTGAAGCGCCGCAGCCGGCGGAGGGTTCGGCCATTGCTTCGGGGCGCTCCCGCTGCCCTGGAAGCAGAACAGAGTCCGGAGCGCACGGGCGGCCGCGGTTAGATGTTCGCAATGGTGCAGGCTTGGAGACGTTTGCCAGAAAGGCATTTCAGAGACTTGAGTTTAGCCCCTAGGGTTTTGGTTTTCAGTGTATATATGATAGGATTTCCCAAACAGTTCATGGTTATCAGCATAGCTGTGCAGTTTCGGAAGATGTAGACGCTTGGGTAGAGATCGAGGGGGCACTGGTGGTTTACTGCATCAAAGATGACACCTGCAAAAAGAGGAGCGTAGGACACCAATGCCAGGAGCCATATAAAAATACTAGTTCTGGCAACCTGGATTTCAGCTGATTTGTAGGTACCGATAGCTTGCCCACACGCTTTCATTCTCAGCTTTCTTTTCCTCAGGATCATAATGATTCTAAGGTAGGTGAACAGAGGAACAATAAAAGCCGCCACAACGTTGGGAGTGGTGATGAAGATGAGGTAGTCAACACAAAACGGACTGTAGAGGACTGAGAGATTTTTTCCTGTGTGCAAGCAGTTCCACCCCATCAATGGCAAGCAGCCCAGAAAGAAAGCAAGGACCCAGTTAATTAAAACTACAGCTATGGAATGGTTTCTAGCAACCCTGAACCTTGTCCTAATACTTTCAGCCACAGCCAGGTAGCGTTCAATTCCAATGCTTACCAAATTATAGATGGTGGATAAAATAGATGTAGCATATAAGGCATAAGGTGCAAGCATATCCTTGGATCCAAAGATTGTGTCGTCAGGTTTGGTGATGAACAGCATTGAAATCCAAAAACCAGAAAAACTTGTGAAGAGATCAGAAAAAGCCAAATTGCAGAAGAGTATAGAGATGGGCTTGTGCAGGTCCTTTGTTGCCTTTCTGGTGATGATGGCTGTGCAGTTGAAGATCACAGATGCTATGTTAATGGTCAGCTGAGGGATGCCCAGTGCAAGTACTAAATTACGACTCCAAATTTCCGTATGGTTAGCAGAACAGTTTGAGTATCCATTCATGGTGGAAAATCCTAGATTCAACCGGTAACCATTTGCTTCGAACATCTCATGTTCTGTAAGAGGCCGTACTACTTGAGTGTTACTGTCACCTTGTTTTTCAATCAAAACATGAATCTTCAAACACAGCTCCTATTGGCACATCATCATCATGACAGTGGATTAATCTTTAACCACTTGTGTTTTTAAATATTTGGGTTACCAACTCAGAGCACTTCAGTTGCTAGGATAGCTAAAATTGGAAAACACATTTACTACTACAGAACCAATCTGCTTAAAGCAACCTTTTTCAAGAACAAAATTTGATTCAGGCATTTAGAGATCTCCAATCTTAATCCCTCTAATTGCCCCTACTCAGACCGTATACAAGCAATGGACAAAAATGCTGACACTAAGCTGGAGATTCCTTATGTCTGTCACTAACCTAGCCACATAGCCTGCAATTCTATCCTTAGAAATATTACTCTGTAAAATAATGAAAGATCCCTCTTTATACAGACTCCTTCAGTTTTATGCATTTAATAATCCCTTAACGTACAGTTTAAATCTTGACTGGAGGACAACAGAATCAAGTTGGTTACTGTCTCTTGCTTACATTTACAAACCAATGAGACTGATGGTGGCTGTTTTTCTAAATATGGTTAGATCATATCTACAGAACAAACCCCAACCTAGAAAGCAAAATGGCCAGATCAACAGCAGCACTACAAAGGTGCTCCCAAAAAGGGAGCTGTCTTCAAAGTAGCTCTTGTGCTTGGGCCTACAGAAATATCTCAGTAAGTACTGAATGCTGGAGTACTCAGAAGTTCTCAGAATACACCTAAAATCATCTGTATTTTCTTTCTCTTGTATAAATCAGAGGTTGGTGTAGAAAAATGACAGGCAGTTATGCTGATACCATTGCAGAGGGATATTCTGTTTGCTTTTTTAAAGACTTGTACATTAACAAAGCAACAGAATAGTACTGTATCTTTCTCTGTCTTTTTAAACGTAAATGATTTATGAGAACTAAGTTTTAAATATGTGAGACCAGGAAAATTATTCTTTCGACGTACATTTAACACTGTCAGACAGCAGAGGGCACTACTGTAACAATTAGTTTACAGTGGGGAGTACGGCAATGCTGAACGCTGGAGCAGTTCGGGTGAGCAGTGAGTACACCCGTGTGTCATTACAAATAGAGCAGTGAGTACACCCGTGTGTCATTACAAATAACGTGGATATATATTTTTTTTCTGCTCAGGAGTGGCTGCTTTTGTTTCTTAGTGCTCGATGTGGCACACCTCTATGACAGCCCACGTTTTATTTGAGACATCTAGGTATGGAAAGAACTCTCCAACATGTTCTAGCTGTTACTGGCATCCAATTGCAATTGAGCAGCGAGTTTTTGCAAGCTTTCCCTTGGTGAAAGCATTTAAGTAAAGGCACGTCACTTACAAAGCTAGTCCAAACTAATTTGCAAGGCTCCATGTAAGAGTTTGTTGTTGTAGTTGTGCTCCTTCCCCACTCTTTGTTGGCATTCTAACAAAAGATTGACTTTTATTAGTAACAATTTTATACTGTGATATTTACAAAGTAGCTCAGCTAATGCCTAGGAGCTTCCCATATTCTGTGCTGTTATCTGTACAGTATAGCAGCAAGTTCAGCTCTCATACTGTAAATCTGTGAACTATCTGACAGCTCTGACAGAATTTACGGTGCAGTAAATCTGTGCAAATCTGATTGGCTTAAAAAGGAAAAAAAAACCTTTTTTCTATTAAAGTTGAAGTTTATGAACATACTATGGTTGGTGTGCAATTAGCACTACAAAATTAATGTATACTAGAGATGCTTTGCACAGGTAAGCAAAATATTTCAGATAGTCACGACAAAGTCCAAAGAAAGATTATACAGAAATGAGGGCTGAGAACTGATTCACCACGTCTGCTGATTTATTGATATCCTATGAACTATTCTTCTCAAGTGTCACAGCAAAGCATTCTCTGTGACATGCCTCATACAGATTTGGCAGCCACACCCTTGGTATGAGGTTGCTGCTGAGCAAGGACTCTTATTTCTGTCACCTTCTCAGTGCCAGCACCACAAGTCAGCAGCTCCCTTTAACAACAGCAAATGCAGCAGCAGGTAATGACCAGCATGGATGTCAGGAATGGCAGAGGACACCAGATCAATCTGCGTGCACTCCCAATCTCTCCGGATTACTTTTTCTGTGACTTTGTGAACTGGAGGCAGGATTGAGGGCTGTGATGAACAGCAGGCTAGCTACAAAGGACAACATCTTCAAAAATCTTTCAAAAGCAACCTAGTTGCTTGGAAATACATAGCCATGAAGTCGGGCTCCAAAACGCCCTATTCCTAAAGATGCTACTTGACATGTCTCTAGTTTAAGAAGTTGACGTTCAATGATGAAACACTGTATGAAGTCAGAATGAAATTAAAAATAATACTGAGAAATATAAACGGCTCTTAACAAAACATTTTGTAATTTTAATTCCCTAATAGAACTGTATAAAATGCCCTAATAGAACTGCATAAAATTAGTACAGAAGATGTAATATTATGGAAAACGCTTTTTTAGTTCTGCTTCAATATAAAGCAAACAAACAAACAAACTCCATAGATCTCCATACATTTCAACTCTGATAAAGTCTGAGTTCTTGTAAGAATAGATGAAAGGCAGTTTCAACTGAAAGCAAACACTTTGGGAGGTAGAAGGCGACTGTGTTACCGAACCCGCACGTATAACAATGTCCACTCAAGGTGATTCTTATCACGTATTCTGGGAACTTCATAATCTTATTTTACTTACACCCACAACACACCTGTGAGGTGTGTTACAAATTACAAATTATTTGCATAAGATCACATGAAAGAATGACATGGAGAGAGGTAAATCTAGGCTAAAACTTTAAACGCTGGCTGTACCTTACTATTAGCAGGCATTTGATTAATATTTACCTCGATTTCACTCTCTCCACTGCTCTTCTTAGTACTATAATTGTTTTTAAAGTTCTTTATCTGAATATCCAAATGGCTATTGTTTTGATATTTGTTATGAACGAGACACGGCGTTACTTTATTTTGCTAAAAGGATCCCAGCAATAGCATACTCTCCTCATTGACAGCTCCTTTCACCCTAGAATCTGTAAGTTTGATAGTAATTAGCCTCAGATTATTTGTGTGGAGAAGATATTACTGAAGATGCTGAAAATGCTGAAGAGAATGAAACATAATAAGCCTCGAATTTTTAAGGACCATTCACTTAAAGCAGCCATTCTGGAAAATCTACCTTCACACAACCGAGTTTGTGGTCCCAGAAATGCCCAGAACCTGCAGCACTTGGGCTTCAGCAGGAACCACTGGTGTTTGGCAGCCTGCAGAATAACAGGTCCCAGCTGAGACATGCCAAAGGAGGTTTCAAAACAGGAAATCAAGTTCCAAAGCTGAGACTCTTAGTTCAGCACAGTAACCCTTGGACAACATAAACTTCCACTTTAGCACCCTGCAAAGGCAATTCTCTTTATGCTCATAATGCCCTGAGAATTCAGTTATACCCGACACTACAGCAGAAAAAGCTGCATCCTCATAACGAAAATGAGAGCTCCACAGCATAATCACACTACAGCTGATTTGGTGCTACCTTCAAAGTTGTGTACTCACACTGTATATATGAGAAAGACAAGGCACAGAAAGGATAAGGGATTTCATTTTTCAAGTTTATTTCCTGCCACACGTCCAGTTTCTGCTTCCATGCCTGACGCAACCAACCTTCTTGGTTGTGAAGTGCAACAGTTTGACCTTCACCTGAACTGCACCTGCACTCCAACAGCACACTTCACTAAGCTGCAGACATCACAGAACCTGGCCAAAATGGCTAGTGAAATGCAGGCTGGCTGAGTAATGAGGAGGTCTGATTCCATGACATCGAGCTGACATCCAGCAAAGCCTTGAGACAAGAATATCCACCACAAGTACGAAACATTCAGGAAAGGGAGTAATAAAAAGGAGGAGCCTATTTATCCAATTTATGTTTCAATTTATATGGATTAAAGTCTTCCTTTTTGGGGAGGAAGACAAAAATGGTATGTATGATCTCCTTCCAAGATTCTGCTGAGAAGTTTTCAAAACAGAAGACTCTCTGCTCTTCCCCCACCCACCCTCTGAGGAATTTCTGTGTTCACAAGTTTTGTGTCTCTGATGTCCCAGCTCTGCTTTCTTGGCCCTCACCAGGAACACAAAGTGAAGACAATCATCAGGTTTGAATGTTTCAGACGTGTTAAACAGTGTTAACTGCAAGACACAAAATAATGGCAAGGACACCTGCACAACTCCCACCCTGCTTCTCTCTTATGAGTGAAGTATATAGCATAGTTGTTTCCTTCCTCTTTCTACAAAGACCCTTTGCTTTTATTTCCCATCTCTTTTCTATTGCCCCTCTTTCCTTCCCCATTTCCCTAAGCAACTGGGGATAATAAACTGGTTGGGCTAACATTTTACCTGTTGTGTTTTAATCTCACCATCAGGTATAAATATACTAAAAAACCTCCTCTCCCTCCTATAACCTGGAGCGAGACAGACTCATATCAGTCTCACCTACACAAGCCTTAGATCTTCCTTCTAAGTGTATGTTCAGCCCAGCTCCCCAGCACAAAGAGCTGTGCCACTGTCCTGGTTTTGGACACAGAGTCAGCTCCAACCTGCTCTCATCCTGTGCTCTCTGTGCTGCTGGGTACAGAGGAACTGCAATCATTCGCCTGGGAGGCCACGAACAGCTCTAGACTTCCTTTCTGCAGCACATGGTAGGGTCATTTGGCTCAGACATGTGTAAGCTCCATTAGACGTCACGTCAGTTCCTCCGAATGTCCTGTGAAGCCCTCTTGGTAGTAGCAGGCTAAGGTTGGATCTCACACATTTCATAAACCAGACTGAGGGAAATAAGTCAAAACCTTTGCAGCTGTACTCCACAACAAGGATACAAATGAAGTGCAGTTTTCACTGTTTTTAATGTTCCCTCCTGCTCTTATCTACCCCGTAGCTACAGACACAGCTGCAACCACACTGTCTGAGAAAAAAAATAACCTGGAGTTTTATGAATCCTGCAAAACATTGGCTCTTTGCTCCTCTGACACGGATCCTTACATGCATGTAGGCATCCAGTGACGTTTATAGAAAACCCACCTGCACTGCAATTCCTTTGAAAAATATTCGTGGTGCAAAGATGCCAGAGAGAACTGATAACAAAGCACCGGTTGGGTAAGTTTGGTGAGATAAAAAGATTATGCCTGTCCTCATTATTTAGATTGTAAACTTCGTATGGTTAGGGAATATACTTCACTGAGTTTAAACACACTTTCTAGCACAAATAAACATGACTGCAGTGCAAATTATTACCACTTAAATAATGAGAAGCTGGAATCTTGAATTTCAAGAACAAAGTTTTTAACCTTTGGATATTTCAGCCCAAATCAGAGTGTTTCTAGGAAGCTCTTAGCTTCCAGAAAGCTAAACACAAGTAAAGTTGAAAAAAGCTTTATCAAAGAGCTTTGATTAAACTCTCTGACTGAAGACCACCCCCAGGATATGAAATCAGAGAAGCCCAAGTGCAAAACATCTCATATGTGTCCTTGAAGGCTGGCACCTGACACTGCCATGTTCACGGCCCCGCTTCACTCTACGTGCTCAGCATGCACCTTGCTTAGATAGCTCCACAGAGATTGCTGAACTAGGAAGTTCAAAAATGCAATGAATTCCCTTATTGTTCTTATCTCTGCAGTAACTATTTATCTTAGCACCATGTGCTAGGCAAATCATTGTCTGTTCATGTTTTAATCTATCTAATCCAATACGGAAAAACACTAACCAGCAAATCCTCATTGTTGGAATGTTATTTATAGCTATCTTTTTTATGAATAAAGTCCTGCTCATAAGTCAGCTGTCAGATTTCCCATTGTTATTACAGTCCTGATCCCATTTGACCCCAGTATAACACCACAGTGGCCTTGCCCTTCACCTGAGAGCCCACAGCTTTTGGTAAAGGCATAAAGCTCCACAGTGATCAGTCAACATAATGCCACACCACAACCTTTACACTCCTTCCTGGAGAGGCACTGAGTCAAGCATCCTGCTCTCCTTGCACCCAACCCAGGATTTGGGTTGCACAGTCATGGAGAGAGAAGCATTTGGAAGAATGGGAGAATTTGCATTCCCTGATGTGTTTTCCTCCTCAGCTGTGTCAAAATTCAGTCCCAAATGAAAAATAGAAAATGTGTGTATAACAGAAACTGTACAACAAAAAGTAGCAGTGCCACTTGTGTACACACCTTTGTTTGTTGAACATAAAGCCTGAATTGCACTGAATCAGACACTTGGAATTAAAGCATTCAGATAGGAAAAGAGGACAGAAAAAATATATACTAGATGCAGTATAACAGAGTACATATAGCACGTAGTATATATATATATGTGTAATATGTATATATACACGCATATATATGAAAGAATATAAAGAAAAAGTACACAAAGGAAAAAAGAAGCATGGTCTCTATTAATCCACTAAATGCAAAATCACACGTAAGGAAAGTGCTGGCATGCCACCTACTAAACCTTTCCTGTTACTGCACACAGAAATGCAGTTTCACCAACCTGCTGTTTGAAGGGTTGCTGTGTGCTGTTGGAGTGGAGGTGATTTTTTTTTGGCACAGAACACTAACATTAATGCATACGTTCACAATTACTCTGAAAGTCACCTGGTCTGTCAGAGAAAAGACTAACAGCAAACAAAAATGTAACATCTCAGTAATAGGTTACTAGATGTGCATAGGTTGCAAAGTCTTAGCTATTCACTGCAGGATATTTGTTTAGTGCTAGAAAACTGTATTCCTTTTGTCATTTATTTCTGAGAAATGAATAAATTTAGTCAGACCATGAGTAGAGTAAATCTGGGGAAATTACAAGGGGGAGGAGTTCACCTTCCTGGCTATGGCTTTCAGGTCTGTCCAGGACTACTTACTCCAGTATAAAACTGAGAGCAGAAATATGATCACATACTAAGAAGTCTAATCAATTCTGGTTTCAACACTGAGCCTATTTAAAATAGATAATGGAATTGCTGTTCCTTGTTCTGTTCTCTCTGCACATTCTCAAGACAGAGGCAGTAGGTAAGTCCTTCTCTGTTATTTCTAACCCCATATACCAAGGTTACTCTTATTTATTATTTGTCTCTGAGCACTGGAGCTTACAGGGCAAACTCTCTACTTCTTCTATATGAAAAAATGAATGTTTTATTTATTTCTCTGCCTTTTTCATTTGTGGGAAAATATCAAATACAGGTTTCTCTCATGAATAATGAGTGTTGATTTTTTTTTTTTTACCTTTAGAAATTCTAGTTACCTTCCTCCTCCAAGAAAAATCACTGGGGTTTGGCTTGATCTCTGTGGTTATTTGTACGTGTATACAAAAAATTAACAAACAAGTAAAATAATTTTGACCATATATTTCATAAAATTTCAAATGGCTTATTCTAGATTTCTACTCATATTGCTTTGTCATTTATAAGATTAAATTCTTATAGTTGCCTACTGAGAAAGAACAGTATGTCTTTTGCTGCATTAGCCCAGCAGATCCATCTATTTTTGCACTCTATGCACTATGTACATAAGTGCACTGTGCACTTACAATGACTAGATTAAACAGCAATCTATAATTAGTATTGAAAAAAGGAGAAGATATTTCTATGCTTCTATTAAATCAGCAGCACTATAACATTGAATAAATACCCTTTCCTATGTAAATATCAGCACACAGTCTCAAAATTAAAAATAAACACTGCAGTCCTTAATATAATGAAGGGTCTATTGTTTGCACTAAAATAGACAGGACTGCATTAAGGGGAAAAAAAAGAGATACAGTATTATCAGAGGTATCAGAGGGAAGCACTGCACCAAGAGCCCATTAAAGGGACCTGGTTCTTAAAGCAGCTCAAGATTCAGTTTCCAGACTTAAAGTAACAGAGGGTTCAGGTACTCAGATAGAGCCTTGAGCACTTCATAAGCACTGGAGTAATGGTGGTGTTCCTCACATTTTATTTCTTTGCTCTAAATGCTCCACAAACACGACTCAGTAGCTTGCCTTTTCCAGACCCATACCTCACAGTTCTCTCTTCTTCAGTCTGTATTTTGCAGCTCTCTGTAGGCTTCCAGATGTAGTACAGGTACAAAACAACAGAAAGAACCTTTGCTCTTCCAAAGTCTACAACTATTTGCTTGATAGAAATCTATTACTGATTAATTAATATTTTGCTAAATTTACTGTTCTGTTAAGGCATTTATTACAGAATCTTAGAAGACCGCTTAGAAAAGCCATATAGGTATTATTAAATTAACAATGGCAATTAGTATTTTAGCAGAAAGACTAAACACGGGGAATGCATGTAATACATTTTGGTTTTTTTTTTTCCCCACAAACCGTTACAATTTCCACTTTCTTTTCTGAGTGTAGAATTAATGGCACAGACATTAATGCTCAAGACACTTGCTCTCTTCTCACCTTCCTTTCCGAATCTTTTCATGAGGTAGAAGCTTCACAGGGTACATTATATACTGCCTTAAAGGCTGGACATTGTAAGATGCTATGACTTCTGAGCATCTGCCTCAATAATATTTTTATGTATCTTTGTTTTTTTTTCTGCTCTTCTCACATTTCAGAACTACCTTGAGAGTTACCCCCTTATCAATACACTTAACATCCCTGTACCAGGCTGTTTCCCTACTACAGGCAGCCTCAAAACTCACCACACTTACACAGCCAATGTTAATAGTTGCTAGTATGTTAAGTTGCTTTCAAACTTGACCTCTCTTAGTATCTTAGCGTAGAACTTACTTTCAAAATATATAAATATTGCTAACAGCCCTCTGTGACCTCACAGAGAAGCAAATCCTCTCAGAGATCAATGACCCTCTGGAACTGCTGTTAAATAAATAGAAGTGAAGCAAAATATCTGCAATATTACATCAGAAACTTTCCAAACCTTTTGAGAGAGAGCTTTTATTAAAGATACATTCAGTCTAGTGCCATTCAGAGGACAATTGTAGTGGAGAGTAAAATATTTCCATCTAGAAGTTTGGTATTGGTGTTAGAGCCAGCTTCACACATCACTGAAAAATAAGCTTCATTAAAAGGAATGGAATGGACCCTGACATTATCTCCAACAAGTTACCTTGGCTGTCTCAGCACAGATAGACTTTTGAACTCAAGTTATGATTGTTATACAGGATATGTTTCTTAGGGCTTCCTTCTCTCCTTTTTTTTTCATAGAATTATTCAAGCTGCCAAAATATTATTGGTGCCTTATCTGTGAATACCTACCATAGTCCATATTTATCAGTGTATGCCATCAGTGTCAGATCCATTGTATGCAAGATGAAAGAAGACACACTTAGCAAGTTGCTGAATGTGCACTCAGAGCAACAGACACCCACTGATAGTGCTCTGCACCCCTCGCTCTCTACACAGCTAGATCAACTGTATGAGCAACCTTCAGAAGGCAGAGATTTTTCTAGCTGTCATTGTGATTGAGCACTAAGTGCTCAATATCTTCAAAACTGAAAATTTTACTAACAAACTTTTCCATTAAATACAGGGTTAATTACATATTAGCTCTATAAAATTGACTGTTACTGCCCACAGAGGTGCAGCTCAGGTAAAGATGAGCCACTGTCATACTCATTGTGGGTTTCATATTTGGGTTATAACTGAGGGAGTTTTATGGATGTGAGAAGAATGAACACAGGATGACTAAGGATGCAAATCTCAGAGTGCACTTATTTCCTTCTACAGCTTATGATAAAGGTATAGCATTGTAACAACTGCTTTCTCATTCTCTCAGCGGAAGACAGAAAAGCACTTGTGCTAGAGCAGCAGAAGAGATAGAGTGGCTCTTCATTTAGCTGTAACAGCCTGTTTTATTTTGGGGAGACAGGGAACCAAGCTCAGCAGGCAAAGAAACAACACTGCACATTGCTGGAGGACTCCTGAAAGGCAGCTAAAAGGCATTAGAGCTGTATATGGAATGAAATTTGAAATGCTTTCAACTTTATTCATTTCTGTAGCGAGCCAGCTATAGTATCCAAATATACCCACACTGCACATAGGAATCAATTATGTCAGAACAAGAACGCTTTGATTCTCTTTACGTTAGTCTATGTGTGGAGTTGTTCAAGAGTATGCACGGTTTAGTCATGTCTTGTAATTTAAATTCAGCTGCAGATCCTGACTTTCACTTTAAGAATTACACATGTAAGTTTATAAGATCACCTCTGCTGGCTCTGCTGCACATGAAACCAAAACCTGCCCCTTCACCCGAAGCATGCCTGAACTGCTGAGCAGCTATTGCATGTAGCATGTAGCTCTGAATGACTGCCCAGGTGACATGAATTGTGCTTTGTCGTATTTGTGTTGTGCCAAGACAGTAGGAGTTGATGCTCTTGAGCAGACAGATGTTTTACTATGTTGGTGCATCCAAGAGCATCACAGCTCCAAGTTCAAAAACCATTGGTCACCAGATAGCAGCCTGTTTCTGGTGACATATAATGAGTGGGCAGCTTTCTATACACACAGTGGGCCAAGTCGCATCATCAAAGCTCAATTTACAGATCACCTTGAGCAGGGTAAGTACACCACATTGTTATCAATTTGTATGAACTCACCGTTCAGCTGATCCTCATACAAAATTGCAGTGTGCTGCATCACCTCGTCCTTCTCAGCTTCAAGCCAGGTACGTTCATGCTGTCATTCACTTCAGTTCTGTGAGAAAGAAAGGAACATCATAGAAAACATAGAAAACATACACAGGAGGTATTCACAGGTGACAAGTAACGTTACTTCAGCTTATAAATTATTTTTTCTTTTTCCCACAGCAAAAAGCATTGGATTAACCTTTACATGATGCATGTTGTACAGCAGTACTTAAAACTGGAATCATGGTTTCTCATAGATTTTACAGTTGGATTTTGAAAACTGGAAGCAGATAAACATTTTCCTAGCTTCCTCTTAGCCATTCAAATAACCAGCATAAACTTCAAGTCTTTAAGGCATACTGCGAGGTTCAGTTTTTCATCTCTGTGTCTGTTTCCATACAAATATATTTTTTTCCCCTCTGTTTGTGGCATTATAGGTGATGCTTTATTAACAGGGTACAGAGCATATGCAATGGCCAGTGGTTAGTTACTAACACTTAGCTGCAGGATCTGTCAGCAGAAATCCAGCATAGAACATTACAGGAAGGGCTGTAAAGCCAGATAGTAATTTGTTTGAATTAAAATTTAAAAATACTCAAAAAGATATTGCTTGAATTTTGTTTGGCACTGCTCTGTTGTAAACAAAGCAATGCAGATTTCTCCACAGAAGCTATCACCTTAGCCCTGGACACTCTATTCTTGTTAAAAGTCAGCTTCCTTTTTTGATATAGCAGATTTATGAGGATATATATATATGACAGAAGTTACAACAGTATCACAGGTCAGAGCTAAAATTATCTTCCTCACTATGCAACACAAAGGAAGCCATTTACAAGTATTTATAAAGTAAACTTAGAACCTCTCAATCTCTATAATCCTCTTTAGCTTGTGCGTGTTGCAGAGTAAGACATCACTGAGCACGTGATTTATGTACACATGTGCAAGTTCTAAACGCCGTGCTCAATCAGATGCAGTTCCTTCATTACCATAATAAAGTTTATCTTTGAGTCTAAGTAAGTCCCTGTAATGGGTTGGAAAGCAATACATACACACATACATATAGATGTATAACATTATGAAAAATAAAGCTGCCAAGTAAAAGTGAACAGAAGAGAGATGAACGATTACTAGCATTTGTTTTAACAAGGCTAGAGATATACACATGTAAACATTTGGAACTGATTTTGCTTGTCACAGTGGTTGATGAGGACTTCCTGAGAATAATACCTAAAAACATATACAAAGACAGATACATACATGCTTACTTTGTGTTTAGCAACTCATTAATTAGAAAGACAGACTTAGATTCCGCTTGCACTTAAGTTACTTGCTCTTTTGTACTAAAGATAATACGTTTCTCAAAGCCAGCTAAAAATACTCCTGTCCCAACACAAACCAAAGCTAAAAATATACCGAGTGCAAAA